CCAGGCAATGAATATTTGTGAATCTAAGCAATATATGATGTTTGACACTAATCTATGTTATCTGGTAATCTGAAAGTACTCTGAGAAAAATAAACTACAATTATTCTAGCAAAATGTGCACTAAAGTAAGACATTTTGTATGCATATACTAAAAATAATTCATCTGCATAAAGTAGATTTCTAAAACAAGCTTATAAAAATGTAGATAACTCACAGGCTGAGTGTACCAAAATAATAATGATAGGATTATATTTACACAGCTCTGAAACTCAAAAACATATATAACATCTCAATCACACCCACAAAGTCTGGCTGGCTAACAAACATACAATGCCCATTTTGCATAAAGAATAATGCAGGAGAACGTCTTAAACATCCAGTCAGAGGTACAACATAAAACATATTATTGTGGCTACTCTTAAAGTTTTTGGAAAGAACTCATATAATTTCTACTTTCTACTAAGGATGTACAATGTACAAAATAGCAAAAATGCAACGTTCTCTCTGTAATAACAACTAGAGCACTATAAAGAAGTTTAGACCTTATCAATTTGAAAGACTTCACCACCACTATGATACAGAGCATTTAAAAACATATGGTCTAGACGGTTCCATCATAACTGAGATGCAGAAGACCCTTGCATGCCAGTTTTAAAATAATCTGATTTATAACTAAAAGGATAATTTATTGACTCAATTTATGTTTAGAAAGTAGGGCAAATGAAGCAGCAAAAAAATAATCATGTATACCTAACTAAGTACACCTCTACTTATTTCTAATTTTGAGACTAAAATGCAGACATAACTTAAATTTTATTGACAGGTATAATTAGAAAACCAACCCTTCCAAAACTGAATGCTTTAAACCAGAAAGCCTTAATTGAGGAAGGTTCTGACTCAAAACTTTTTTAAAAGCATAATAAACTTATCTGTGCAGACAAGGGGAGCTGGCAGTTTTAAGTGGCAATTCAATCCACAAAATATACTTGAAAAAATAATTATTTTTAATGTGAACATACGGACTTAGGCTATATTTGATTTAAAATTGTAGTCTCCCCATCATTAAAAAAATAAGGCTTCTCTACTGCAAAGAAATTTAAGAAAAGAAAGTACACCCTGCCCATTTCAATAGGTAAAACAAAAAGAGAATCACTTTAGAACTTTCAACCAAATGGAACTCTTAGAGATAGACAGTCAACCCAAGTATCGTTTTACAGAAAAGGGCAAAAGGTGAAATAATATTCTCAATGTAACAGAGCTCTCTGGTAGGCCCTTAAATATTCAAAACTCAATCATTCGTGTTGTTACTCAGTGGCCGAGGAAACAAGTTTTCAAAATGTTTTTAGAACACCTAGATTTTGTGCTTTTGGTATAAAAAGTAGAAAGAGTTAATACAATACACATGGTGGTAATCACTTTTGAAAGATCAGATACTATGAAATAATAAATCAAATACTATCAAATAAAGTTTTCTGGAATTCTTCACTCTTTTCCCAGAGTAACAATCTATAAATTATGTGATAAGACAATTGTGAAAGTATATGCATACCTTGTTTTAGAACACTGGGGAAGTGAAAACATACTAATTGTTTCCGATTTTTAAAACTTCCATAATACACACAACCAGGAAACAATGCTTTTATGAAGCATGAAACTATTCCCCATTTATTTAATCATATAATTTAAGATGAAATAAAACTGCACTGGTCTATATAACTTAAGAGACAGACTTCTTGATTTGATTATTGAGAAATTACCAGTGTTTTCACGAATGAAATTGACATAAGCATGTTCTAACTTTTAGGAAACATAGGTTGAAAATACTCAAGGTAGACTAACAGAAAACCTGCTACCTACTTTGAAGTAGTTTGTCCCCTCAGCATGGAAAAAAAATCCACACCTACAAATATATATATTAACTATACAGTTAAAACAGGAAAACATTAACAATTGTTGAATTTGGGAGGTAGGTACATGGGTGTTCAACTGTCTTATTCTTTCAACATTCTCAAAGAAAATTTTCAAAACTACAAAATCTGATATTTTAAATCATTACTAGCCTCTTAAATTTCAGGTGTAATACATTTTAATATATTATTAAGTGATGCTGTAAACAAAACGCTTATGAAAACAAAAGTATAAATACCACACTGCTCTTCAAGAAACTTTCTGTTTCAGCAGAATGATAAATCTTGTATTTTTGACTATTCTCATTTGACACTAAATTTCAAACCTTTTTAAAGGTTACACCATACACTGGATAGCATTCTTTCACAAAACTTATCCTTTCTCTTATCTGGAATCCAGGTTGTAATTTTCAAGAGGACCCACAATAACAGTGACTACCATCATTCACACTGCTATTTATTGATAATTCCTGTTTCTACTGAATGTCAATCCCAGTTAACACACAAACTTTTCAAAAATTACTGAAAATTTAGGGTTCAAACAAAGATTTAATCTCCTCCAATCAACAATGATTTTAACTAGAAAATCAATATTCAAGGAAGAAATTGAGGTTTATGAAAAGTGAACTGGAAGTTCTCTGAAAACTCCATCTGTCGAGAAGAAAATAAATGCATTTATTTTCAATGTAAACAAAACCAAGGGGGAATTTCAACAAAATACACTGCTAGAATGAAACCATTAGGAAAACGTATGCTCTTTTATTTTATGCATATTAATTACAAATGACATATGAAATCTAAATACTGCTGACTTTAAACTACTATTTCAAATCATGACACAAAAACATAGTTTGTAATAGTAAAAAAAAGTTTTTAGAGAAAGAATGATGGTAGCACACGACATATTCACACTTATGGAGAAAATCTAATGCTCATGATTTTTCTCTTTATTTTTTTTATCTACCACTTTTAAGTAAATGAAACTCAAAACTTTCTTGGTATAGTAACTCACCAAGAAATGGGAAAAAAGAAAAAAGAAAAACTGAACCAGCCACAAGTTATTGAACTATACAACAGCACACAAAAAACTGAATAACTAGGAGTTCACAGGTGCTCCACTTGATTGTCACTCAGAGGCTGACTGTTCAGAGGATAAACTTGGTAAGTACTGGAACAGGATTTTCTTGATGCAGGAAAAAAGCTGTGTAGAACTCTATTCTTGGAGCCAGAGTTGAGCCCGGACACTAGGGTGGTCAGGAAATTAAGAGATCTCTTTGTGCACTGGCTTTCAAATGTTCTTGAATGAATTATACAGAAATTCATAGCCTTGAGGCAATAATAGCTTGGTATTAACAAAGGATCAAATTTCTCCCCATCTTATTTTAGCTCTGTGTGAAATACAGTAATAAAAATTACCTAAAAACTGTGTGAATGAAGTATGAGTGATGAGAAAAGTAGATTCAAGTATAACAGATGTCACTTAAATATTTTAAGTATTGTGAATGAAATGCCCAAACCCCAATTAATGTCACAGATTTTAAAAATTTCACTCTCCGTCCCCAATACTTAAAGAAAATGTGACAGAAATAGTTTCCATTATTTTACAATCTCCAAATCATGTTTTCAAAGAACTGCCAAAAACAAAAGCCTGTGAATACTGCAAATTTTAGAAAAAATTCCAGCCTCACTGTTGTGTCTAAAATAAAAAACATGAAATGGTACATAAGAATTTAATTGGTATAAAAAGATGGATCTCAATTATGCTTTACAACCAGTGGCTCTTACACAGGATTTTAAATAATTAATCAAATTTATTTCTTTCCAAAATATGTCTTCCAGCAAAAAGAGAAATAATGTACTATTTAAGCAGTTTATTTAAAAATAACATGTTATTCTTTAGCAAAATTCTAAAAGCAGAATATAGTAACACACTGAGCTGCTTGCTGTTTGAGAACTGCTGCAATCAATGGCCGATGAGCTCGATCTGTGGCACACATTATACATGGGTAATTAGATTCCCATGACCCTAGCCATTCTCAAATTAAACACAGCATTTTTTTAAGCTGTGGTAAAATACCTATCACAAAAAGTTTGCTGTTTCAACCCTACTTAAGTGTAATTAACTCAATGACATTAGTCACACTCATCATGCTGTGCAACCCTCAACCACTCTCCATCTCCAAAAAGATCACTGCTTTTAAAAATCATCATCTGAACTGAATGGAGACAAATAGTCTGTCAGACAGGTTCAACTGCTATTCTACTGGACTTACCAAACTATGGGCACGACTGCAGAGTCAAATCATTTTTAATACTTCTAGAAACCAAGATTCTCAAAACATACCTAATTCATCTTGACTCACACAGCAAATCCTCACCCTAACACCCAACTCAACAGTATTGATTTTGAAGAAAACTTAAGGTAAGATCTAGATAGTGAAATCAAACAAATGATAGCAAATGAGATTAAAACTGGACATTACTTTAGAAGCAAAAGAGATTTGCCTTCAAACAGTGTTTTTTTTTTTTTTTTTTTCAAGGTTCAAACGATTTATTTGGAAAAAAAATCAACACAGGACAAAGATCCATAATATTCCTACTAAGAATATTTGAATATTCAGAATCTATATGAAATGTAGACAGCAACTCTGATTCCACAGCACATTAATGGTTTATACAAATGCATATTCCCACATCCCCCTCCCCAAAATACGTACTAGTCTAACTATCCCCCCTTTTTGACATTAGGTTTAACTATGTTTCTATCTTCAGTGCAACTGCACAAACTAAAAAGCAGAAGATTATTTTCATTTTTAAATGGCTGGGATTAGTTAAAGCAATCAAAGTATTACTGTTACAGCAAAGTTTAGTAAAACCATAAGAGAGTATCACTAATAACATTTTAAAATAATTCAAAGTGATTTTTTTATTGAGATTAACTACACAGATTTCACAGTACTGTGGCATACTTATATTTAGCTAAAGTTACAAACACATTTTAACATTCACAATGATGAGCATCATCACCATTCTAATCTACAAAGCTTATGAATAAAGAAAAATACAAAACCTCAAGTTTTACAAAAGAAAAGTTTAAAGTCTACATACATTGACAATAAAACCATTTCTTCCAGGTAACAGGTAAAAGTGTAAAGGCATACCATTGCATTTCTTTTTCTAAACAGCCAGAAATGAAAGAAAAAATGTTTAATATCTACAGCGCTTATTAGGGCCTTCAAAGTTGCCCCCTTGGCTTCCTCTACCAAAACCACCAGGACCACCACTCACAGGACCTACACCACTCATTGGTGCTTGAGGGGTTTCAGAGCCTGTTCTACTACCCATAGGTGATCCCATCTGAGATGGTGGTCCTTGGGGAAATCTATCATTATGCTATTATACCACACAATAAATATAAAGTCCATTTGGAACACGCCAAATATAAGTGACAAGAAAAATTGGCAAAATCCCAAGTGGTGGTGTCATGAAGGTCAGCAGAAAGTCCAGCAGAATCAGGATCACACATAGAAGGAAGAAAGGAGCAATTTAATTAGTTACTATGTTTAAAAAAAAAAAAAAAAAAAAACTGAAGAACTACAAATGCTAATGTTATGCCCCCATTTGATGGAAAAAAACAAACTGATTTTATGATGTAAATGAATGCCCTCAGTATTGTAATACTGCTCAAATCCCTTTAAAAAATGTGTATATTTTATGTAGCTATGCTATGGAAAGAAAATATTTTTTAAAAAAAACAGAGAGAAAACTGTGGTGCAGCATCAAATTCTACTCTAAAAGGTAAACATGTTTCCACAATCAACATTCTGAAAATTTCAACAGCAATGCTTTTAAAATAGAAAAAAACTAGTACAAACACACACAAAAAACTATGATTTCAACACAAATTAGAGGTATTTTTCTTGAAAGAATAGAAAATTTTAGTGTTTTGAAAAGAACTAGTAAATCAATAACATGTACTACTAGCAGCACAATTAAACACCTGTATCATATATTTCAAAAACCTTCACAATGATAACCACATATACTAATCTCAAAGCCTTAGCAAAGGGTAAAATGTCAGTGCAAAAAAAGATGAAAAGTGGTATTTAAATGAAGTTTATACTTTTGGAGTTAAAGATAGAAAAAAGGGGCAGTGAATATTACTTCTAAGTTACTACTGATGATTGATTATATACTACTCAAAAACTTAACCCAAGTACAGGCAGTCCCCAACTTATGACATAGTCGAACCAAACATCCTTTTTAAAATCTTATTTTAAGTAACATGTGCTACACATAATGAATGCTGCAGTACATAATTTGCTGATGCTATCATTCTCATATATTCACTTGCAGATGTTCAATTTTATGCTTCCCTGTTCAAGACACATGAAAACTAAAGCTAAAAAAAAAAAAAGAAAAAGAAAAAAATCCATTTGACTAACGTTGGAACCGACATGTACTTGTCAGAACAGAGCCCTGTCATAAGCTGGGGACTACCTGTGATACAACTTTTTATTAGCTTTCAGATATTTTACTATAAAATAAAGCCTCCACTGGAGGAAACCAAATGATAGTTCCACTAGCTATACTGTGCACCACCTGTTCATAGCAATTATTAAGGCACTACCGCCTCTTTATCTCCCTGTAAAATATATGACTAAATAAAAAAACCTGTCAGTAGTATGTCCAATTTTTCCAAATTCTTTGAAGATTAACTTGAGTAAATTAATAAGTGATAAACATTGTATTCATCAATGCTAAGATGCACAGTTGCACTTTTAACGGCTCTGAAATCAGGATAGATTTATAACTAATGGAATGTTTTTAATTTAACTGGCAGTTGGTTTTTTTCTCTAATCAAAAGTGGCACCTTAATAGTGCATATAGTAGCACCAAACTACCTTTTCAAAACATATATTCAACCAATTCTCTCCTTCTTATGTTATTTAGAAGAACCACTGGCAAAATTAAAATGAGGAAGTATTTTGCCACTGTGAAGACTCATTTACACAGTGATAGACTTTAAGGGAAATGATAAAACCTATCAGTCTTGCTACTGATATGCAAATACAATAAAAATTACAAATGAAAATCTCTGTTATTATAAAATTTAACCCACACAAAGATACCTTCACACTCTAAAACCATGACTTAAAATTGTCTACTTTAAATTTAGTTAACAACTATCATTAGTAATTTTGTAATAAAACTGCAGTTTAGAATATATTTAAATAACTCACGAGAAGTAACCATTTTATTAAAAACATCTACTGAAAACTATTATTATGTATACTGGGGTCTTGTCCCCCACCAAAGTTATTCACATAGGAAAATATGCAATCATTAAAGTGCTTGACAATTACATTTAAAACTTATAAAACGTAGATGTAAATTAAAAGCGCTGGAAAAACTAATTAATATTTGCCATATACTTAAGTACAATAATTTGCCACAGAATGTAACCTACCTTAACTTCTGGGCAACTTAAAAATTACCTTTCATAAATCAACATATACTTCCTAAATATTACTTTTTCTTCAGTGGATATTGATCTTCACTGCCCAAACAAATGATGCCAAATTATGTCAAGTGTGAAGTTATCTTTGGGACAGAAGTGCATATTACTGAATATAATCAAAATGTTTATGATACATTACCACTGCTCCATTATCTGGCATCATTGGAGTTCCCATATTTGCAGCTCCTTCTGGTCCCATGGCAGGACCAGGACCCATAGGTGGGCCAGGTATAGTTCCTCTGTTGTTCATATTCATACCCATCATTGGAGGAGGACCTTGGTTACCAGCAGGTGCTGGGCTAAACGCATCTACGCAAAACAATCTATACTTAGAGCTGTCCTATCTTAGTTTAGTAAACATTAAAAACTTAACAATATTTTGAAAATTTATTGCAAGATTATTTTCAAAAGCATTTTCCTTCCTTAATAATGGACTCTTCAATTACCTACTCTGCAAAAGAGCATTGTGTACCCTATAAAATTTTCCATCTTAAAAATAAAGCACATAAAAACAAATGAAGCAATTACCAATTATTTTAAGAAATTTTATACTTTATGTGTAAGTCTAAAACATCACTATTATTGCTAGTCTGCTTTTTAACCAAGTACTCCCTTATAATGGTGACTACTCTAACAGTTTAAATTAGCAGCAAAGGATTAGCACTTAGAAAATTAAACTTTTTAAGTCATGTCTAAAAATATTCTGACATATAAACAGAGTTTCTGACATATAAACAGAGTTAAGATATGAGGGAGAAAATATTTCCTGTAATATACAAAAGTACACTATAACTACTGACTTTCATATACATTTGCACACACCCCAAATTATATGAAGCAGTTTTCAAAAAAAATTTATATGGAAATACGGAATCTAAACAAAAACATTGCCATGACTCATCCTGGAAGAACTTACTTAAAAAAATAACAACTAAATACTGATAAAATAATACCAAGCTATTTAAACTTTTTGATCTTTTGAAACTCTGGAAATGGGGCCTTGAGCTACAGTACCACATACAAAAGGTCTCAAATGCAGAACTTTGTATTTTCTTTAAATTGTTTTCCTTTTGTACATGCTCATAAAAATCCACAAAAAAGGACTGATTGCAATTTAATAGTTTTCTTCTAATATTTCATTATAGGTCAATTTTCTAAGAAGCTGAGTTCTATCTAAGTCTCAAAGAACTGTGTCAGAACTCAGTTTCTCAAAAACATACATTATAAATAGAGTTGAAGTTTTCGGTCAAATCCACAACTCTACAAAATATGTGACAGCCCAATTCTCTACACGCCGAGCCCAGAGAGCAGCTCAGCTGAAAGAAAGAAGTCTCACTCTCTACTCCTACTGCTCTTTCTGTACTCTCTTCTCAAGAACCTAGCAACTTCAAAGGAAGGAATTATCCTTAATCCCAAACGCACCTGTTAATAAAACTACATTTTATTTCCATTCCCTCAGTAAAGCTATAAAGAGCAATTTTAAACATTTCCACAGCATCTCACAAGATAAAAATGAGGGTGAGTGAGGACAGAATCTGTAAAGTATGGTACACCTCAACTTTTCCCCAAAGTAAACAACAGATTAAGGATCTTTTACCCTTCTCTTTTCAATTAAAAGTAATTGCTACAACTACTCTATTAAGACTGGAATATAACTATATGACTATGTAAAAACAGAATCAGTAAAAAATAAATTTCAGGAGCTCTGGTGGCATAGTCGTTAAGGCATTTGGCTGCTAATCGGAAGTTGAGCAGTTCAAATGCACCAGCTGCTCAGTGGGAGAACATGAGGCTGTCTACTTCCACAAGGTTTGCAGCCTTGGAGACCCAACAGGGGGTCACTATGAATCAGAACTGACTCAGTAGCAGTAGGTTTGGTTTTTAAATAAATAAATATTTCAAACTATCAGTATCTGATGCATAGTTTTATTTTCACTAATTAAATCTTCCAACACTCAGTTATGATTAAATTTACAAGATCTAAGAAAATGTCAGCATATCTGGTCACCTGAAAAGCAGTTTTATATCAGTGTTTCCCTTGCCACATACACTAGTAATACACCAAAAAATCTGTTGCTACATTCTATCGATGTAATTTGATAAAATGACCATTTATCTAGTCAACAGCAACTCTCAATTGGATGATAATGATTAATAATTCTAGTAAAACTATTACGATAAAGTTGCATGCTTAACAAAATAGTGAGCTGAAAAGCACTAAAATGTAAATAGTCTCCAGTGATCAAAATGTCATAAAAAATTTAAATGCTCTTGAGTTCTTAACTAAATAAATAAAAACTCTAAATCCATAAAGACCTCACTTTTTGTAATCCCTTAAACTACCTGGATTACAATATACATCATTTGAGATTATCTAGAAAAATACATAAATAATGGACTACTAGTAAACTAGGAGCTCTGGTGGCATAGTGCCTAAGGCACTTGACTGCTAATCAGAAGGCTACTGGTTCAAACCCACCAGTCACCCCTCGGAAGAAAGGTTGGGCAATCTACTTCCGTAGTGATAATGCCTCAAAAACCCAAGGAGGGGTCGCTGTGAGTCAGGGCCAACTCAACGGCACATTAACAACAACAGTACACTATTAGCAGCTCAACTTTGCTGCATAATTTCAAACTTCTTATATATCCTTTGTTGATTTATTACTTAATGTATACATTATACAAACTCCACAACCAAGTCATGAGCAAGGGCCATGAGTCTTGCTTCCTTTGTACACCAGAAATGCTCAGTAACTACTTGTTGGTAGCTAAGAAAAATGATCAATAAACAGCAATAAATAAACTCTTCGAGATTATGTGATAGGTGGTAGCAAAGAAAGTGGCATCAAAAATAGAAACAATTTACAAAAAAAAGAAAAGACTGATCATGGAAATATTCTTCCCACATATTATAGGTTTTAAGATTTTTCATTCTATATACTGTATAGGGTAAGAACACCCTGGATTTTTTATGGGTGTACATTCCAGACTTACTATTCCCTCAGTTTATTTATTTGACTCTGTCCTTGACAACCTGATTATACAAATTAATCAATATTCACAATGCTAATGTAGGTACTTCCTTTGAAAGTTTGCATCGACTAGCCTAAAAAGATAAAACACATCACATTTCCATGACAAGTTTCAGACTGCTCAACAGTGCACAACACTGTAGTTAAGGGGAATAAAGTTAAATCTGATGAAATATATAAAAACTACTTTACAAGTTACAAAAAAGACTAGCTTAAAACAAATTTATAAAATATTCTCAGTTTAAAACACTACATCTCATAAACAGAGTTCCAAGGTAAAAATTCAATTTAAAAGCATGAAAAGTTTGATTTTAAAAATACAACTTGGTTGTATACCATGCAATTAAGTGAACTAGTTTCAGATTTCATCAAAAACCTAACTACATGTTTCTCTCATTAAAACCTATCAAAGAGTAACTAATCTTTTAGCTTTCAAATAAAGAAAATGAAAATTTTCTTCTTATGCATATATTTTCATTAGATATATTTTGATTTAATAAGAAATTTCACCTTTACAAGTACTTCTCCCATATTTTATTACTAATATCACGATACCACAAACAGCATGTACAGATCCTCAAAGAACTGTAAGTAAATTACAAAAGGCTTTTGCTTCAAATCCCTACCTCCCATGTTTATTGCTCCACGGGGACCCATATCACCCATTCTCATTTCCTGTTCTCTCTGTAAGTAAACATAGTTGTCACAGTCAACCTATCAATCTCAAGATTTTACATTTCCCATCTAAAATTTTTTTAAAAAAAGGAAGTTGGGATGTCACTTTCCATTTAAAAATTGATGAATTTCCATTATAATATACTAACAACACTGAAAAAAAAAATTTTAGTCTCCCCAAGCTTAATATACTACAAGTTCTTAGAGCATTTAGTTTATATTACCAAGATTAAATTATAAATTTTTCTGAGCACATAAAAATTACTGTTTTTATCCCAATAAATCAAAGACACTTGCTTATAAATAAAACAATAATCTAGTAGTAATAACCAAAGCCAATTGTTTTCTTCCTCCAAAGCCACAGGAATGTTAAAATAGAAATGACTCTAATCAATTTTATATACAAATTTATTCAAACATACAACAAAAACAGTTTTTGGGCACTAAGCTGAAACAAAATTATACACAACTGTAATTGTATAAATTTTTTTCAATTACTCAAGAATCATTTCAACCATGGTCTATAAAAGATGTATCTTAGAAGTTCCAATTGCACATAAGCATAACTGAGTGAGCCTTTTACTCTGAAGGTGTTACACAGGTGGTAAGTTCTCAAACAATATGCTCAAGGTTAACTGACACAAAAGGATATAGGAATGTTCAGAACTTCTGAAATTATCAGTATAGAAACTGCTTCGTAAAAAACTCTTCCTTTTTTAGTATTAGCTATATAAAATTAACTTCAATGAAATCTTCAGGTGAAATTACTGAAAATAATGTTAAAACTGCAATTTTCACTTTTATTTTTCTCCAAGTTATTTTTTAAATGTCCTCAAAAGCAACATCTCTTCTCATAACAGCATTGTTTTTTGAAGGATACTATTATCAACCTGTCAGGGGGAAAAAGAGACCATAAAAACTAAAACTGACTACTGATCAGGCATTATATGAAAAAGACTATTTGATAATCACATTTATCACCACTATGTACTCTTAAACCAACCAAAGTTGCCATTTTCTGTTCGCTACTTGCAATCTACTGATAAAGTGAAGACTATTCCCATTTACTCAAAACTATCTGGGTATTATTCATCATAGACGTGTGTGTTCAGAAACTGGTTGTATTCCAACACTATTTACATCTATTTTATGACCATGACTATTTAAAGGACAAAGCCTTAATTTATACTCTTGGATTTACTCTGAAAGGTTAGCAATGTAATACCTAACCAATGATACTGGGTAAGTATCAATCTTGCTGTTCCCAACTTCAATTTCCAAATACCCCTTATATACACTAACACATTAACTAGATGTCTGAATCATTTGGGGGTGGGGGGAAGGTGCAGAAGATTCTCTTCATATGTCCATCTCTACCTACTGCTTTCAGGAATAGCAAAGTTTAGATGTATTATCCACAAACGTAACTACTTTCATTGTTCTTGCATCCATTTTGTTCATTAATAGAATTTGGCAGAAAATCTACTAAAGAAGTCTATGGTTTTAAGTCAACTATCCAACAGTGGCAATCACATTCCCTTTCTGATGCTCTATTAAAAACTGTCCCAGTTCTAGACTCTTTCCTTAGATGAAGTAGTAACGATGTCTTATAATTTTCCATGAGTGCCCATATCACTATATTAAAATACCAATTCATGTTGTTTATCAGAGTATTTTTCACTAAATATACTTGAAATTTATTTATCAATGGTATTTCTTTAAATACTGAATAGCTTTACAGTTTCACTTTAAAGTTTCTTAAAAGGGTACAATGAGAAAATATCATTTTGTAAATATTTTTACTTTTTTCTCTTCCCACTCCCTCCCTGTCCTCCTTTCACATGTATTCCTGCTCCTCTCCCCCTCCCCCAGCTATCTCCCTGTGCAGACAATGCCCTTCTGTTCTTCTAAAGGTGATCCATCACACAAAGGAATGTTATCTACCTGATGTGAACGTTCACCCCATATGCCTGGTCTTTTGTTTGGCTGGAAGGCATGGCAATGAGTTCAGTTCCAGACCTGAAGGGAACTAGGGGCCATAGTCTCAGGGGTCTCACCAGGCTCTATCAGACTAGCAAACCTGTTTTTTTTTTTTTTTTTAAATAATTCTGAGTTTTGTTCCACATTGTTCTCCCCCTCTATCCAGGATCCCCTACACTGATCCCTTTCCAAGTGGCTGACAGTGGTAGTTGTGTACCATCTATCTAGTTTTTCTGGTCTCCTGGTCATACAGGCTGAAGATCACACAGTCTACTAGTCCCCTGGACTGATTGTTTCCATGCATCTTTGGTTTTCTTCATTCTTCTTTGCTCTGGATGAGGAGAGACCCATTGTTCCATCTGGAGGGCCGCTTGCAAGCTTTTAAGACACCAGTTGCTACTCACCAAAGTAGGATGTAGAACAATGTTTTTGTGTATAGTGTCTTAAGCCATTTTGTACATACTTTGGGGGGAGGGGGGCCTTTCAGCTTCCTACTCATGTTTTCAAGTTGCTGTTATTCTTTGTAAATCCAGTACTATTTACTTTGACTAAAATGCAAAAGAGGCACAAAGCATATTTATGAAAGTTGTTTTATAAGTACAAATTAAGACAGTATTTCTCATTATAACCTGATCTTTCACATATCAGTAACAGGATCCCATGAAAGTTGAAAGTTCAATCCAACTATGTGCCCATTCAACAAACCATACCCTAGGCCTCCACTTTTCCCATCAGTCATTTTTAAATATATTTTAAGAACAGCTACATTATAACTAACTGATTTTATATGAAGCTTTGTTACTTTACCAAAAGTTAAAAGTTGAAACAACTTATAAATGAAACCCATTGCCATCTAGTCAATTGTAACTCTTAGCAACCCTGTAACACGGCAGAGTAGAACAGCACCATATGACTTCTAAAGGTGTAATCTATACAGAAGCAGATGGCCACATCACTCTCCCACAGAGCGGCTGGTCGGCTCAAACTGCAACCTTTTGGTTTGCAGTTGAACACTTTAACCACTGGACACTTTAACAACTTATATGTATGTAAAATGTCAAGAGTGAAGTTCAACCAAATATCCTATGATGAAAACTCAGTTTTGTATTTATTAATTCAGTGAATCTTACAGCAACCTTAAGAAGTATGTCTACTGTAATCCCCATTTTTAGTGATAAAACTGAGGCATGAAGCTGTTAAATAACGTATTCATGGTCCCACAGATGGTAAGTGGTTGAATTTGCCTTTAAAATTCTGCCAAAACAGTTTATAAAATTTCAGCCTTAACAAGGTACCTATATTCCTCAAAATTTCTAATAGTCAGTGCCTAACCAAAGATTAATGCATGTTTATAAGAATGTGTGCTGTAACATTAAAATAATTAATACATGTATTCCTGAAAGCTTATCCCCCAAATTAGTTTAAATTTACAGATGACCAAAAAGGTAAGCAAGTGTGAATGATTCAAAGAACCATATATCAAATCACCATTACATTAAAAGAAGTATTAAAAGAAGTGTTCTCCAAGTGTGATCCACTGAACACTAGCAGTTCCTTACACCTAACACCTGACGAGAGTGCACAAAATCAAAATTATTTGTCTCATTAACAATGTTATTGTTAAGTGCCGTCATGGGCCGTTGAGTCGATTTTGACTCATAGCATGCTCATGTGACAGAGTAGAACTGCCCTGGATACTGGGTTTTCTAAGCTGTAATCTCTAAAGAAACAGACTGCCAGATCTTTCTCCAACAGAGCTGCCAGGTGGCTACGAACAAAAACATTTGGTTAGCACACAAGCACTTCTCCAACTGCTCCACAAATGCTCCTTTTACTAACAGTAAGAAATACTTAAAATACTATGACCGTATTTGCCTTCTTACCTGACCAACCAACATTTACACTAATGGCACAAAGGCAAAACTCTTAGTGGTTTAGCACAAATTAAGGCCATAATTTTACCAGTAACAACTATGTTGTTCACATTCATGTATTTGCAGTTTTTAAATAATTTTAATTATGAATATCCTTGATAAAGCTTTCAAAATATTTTATTATATTTCTATCCTTAGGGACCTGTCTTTTTTAAAATTCTATGCAAAACAGGGTATGTCATAAGACAATTCTGCTGCATTCTAAAATAAGACACTTATTTTTTAAAAATGCATTTTGTAACTGGGTAGCAAGCAGAAAGACCAGTTTTTTCACGAAAGATGATTTTCACCTGACACAACTGATAGACAAACTGATGCATTCAACACTTTTGTATCTGGCAAACACCGATAGTATCAGTGGTGATGTTAACAAATGTGATTTCTCTTAATTATGTAAAATAAAATACATCAATATTTAGAAGATTTGCTTCAGTCAATGAATCAGTATTTTTTTTTTTCAAATAATTGACATGATAACCTCTGGTGGTACAGTGGTTAAGGCATTTGGCTGCTAACCAGAAGGTCAGCGGTTCAAACCCATTTACCACTCCATGGAAGATAAAGCTGCTTGCTTCTGTAAAGATTTACAGCCTTGGCAACCCAACAGGAGTCACTATGAGTCTAAATCAATTTGATGGCAGTGAGTTTGGTTTTTATTAACAAAATAATGGAAGGGTAAAAAATCCAAAGTTCAAGCTAGACCAATGATTTTAAGAGTACTCCCCCCCTTTTTTATTTAATTCAAAAAAAAAAAAAAGAAAAAAGAACAAACTCTGGTGGCTACTAACCAAAAAATAAGTAGTTTAAACCCACAGCTGCTCCACTGGAGGAAGATGAGGTAATATACTTCCATAAAGATTTACAGCCTTGGAAACCTGATGGGGGTTGCTATGAATTGGAATCAGTGGGTTTTTGATTTAAAGAAAAAAAAAAACTACCACTAGTGAAGTGTTTATGTCATATCAAAGACTATCAACAATTACCCGAAAAGGTTACTAAAATGCTCTTCTCTTCACTAACTACTTACTCATGTAAAGCCAGATTTTTTTCATATACTTCAACCAAAACACCATTTTACAACATACGAAAAACAGA